AATCACTATTTTGTAGTTAAATAGTGATTAACTCTCAAATACGCGCTTTTTATTGGATGACGTTTCCACTAACTATAGTTAACTTTAATCACTTTTTTATACAATCGGCCCCAGGACAATAGAACGCTGTGGCAACACATACAACCAAAATTCTTGAAAACATGAAACATTCGTTTACATTTGCATTTCTGGGAAATCCCCTTCTATGTCGTCATACTATATCATTCTGGTTCATGGCCTTTACCTCGGCAGCCAATGAAGTGATCTTCTTAGAAAACCTTAACCAATCATAGCTTTTCTTTCACTTCTATATACGCAGAATAGGCATTTTGTTGTTTATCCGAGCTGTCTCGAGGTTGTGCTCGCTGCGAAGATTGAAATAAGGCAAGATTCTTTCGTGATTATATTGTTATTCAAGTAATATTATACGTAAGTCTATCTTGAAGTTCTATATGTTTGATGTTTTTCACACAAAGCACCATGTTATGTACGTATATTGATGTGCATATTTTGAATTTTGCGAGTATGTTTTGGTTGACGAAATGCTAAGATGCTCGATATCACATAGTCATAGACAGAGCAAATAATGTAGTTTTTCTTACCCCAAGAATGCCCTGTTTCATCTTATGCCGCCTGACGTTTCCTTCATCGGATGAAACAGGCTAGCGAAACTACAGTTTAGAATGTTTAGTATTTCCGCTGTATACTGTACTGTATTACGTTATATATTTTCATACATATGAATGTACAGTATATACTGTCTGTACTGTACGTATCTGAAGTACTGCGACTGTCTGGGAAATTGCACCTCGTGCATGTAGTTTTTGTATTTATACATATTGCCATTCATATAAATTTGGCTAGATGATTCCGTTTTACATTGTTGCAAGACAGTACAACTGAAATGATCCTATTTGGTTGTGTCCGTGCATGTGTGACACGTCATGCATTCACACGAATATATACTGAAACTTAGGATAGACAGACACCATATATTAATATATTAGTATAAGTACCGAACGCCACCATACTCAATAGCGATACAGAATATCGGTCACACTCTCTAGATGTCTGGAATGTCAACAAAAATTCAGAGTGTAATATAGGACCTTTTTCAACCAACATTAAATCTTGCACGGTTTATTTTACAGCAAACGACAGCACTGAAATTTAAGTCGCTCACAATGAATTGTAGTATACTTAGCGCGCGTCTTAGTAACGTTCAAAACAAGCATGAACTGGTACTTTTAATTTCCTGTTTTAATGACAACACTGGTCTGTCGAAAAGAGTTAAAAGACTCCAGGTTTTGAAGTTATGACTTATGTAGCTTTACGCAAAGAGTAATTACAATTTTGCCGGATTCGATGCGCAATCTTCGGGCGTAAGAAATGATACGAGCGGGAAAGCGAAAGCAGACAATTTTAACTGCGACATTTGTTTTCCAAGAACCCGCAAGTTGACGCTAAGCTAAGGAAATTTAAATATTGTTTATCTCAGCATGACATCCCCCGCACGTTCTTGTCGGGATTTCCCGTTGCCGGGCTCGCTGAACGACTGAAATTTGGAGATTTCAGTGATATAGAGCGCAGTTAAACCGGATTTCCACCAGGCCAATTTGTTCGCGCGAAGCGAAAATAAACTTCAGTGAAGACGTGATTGGATTCGATCGAGACGAATTGTTTTTTGAGACAATTCACATTACTGAAATGTGTTGTTTTTTTGCTTCACGCTAACAAATTCATCTGGCGGAAAACACAGCTGCAATTTCTCATGATCAGTCATTTTGTCTTGCAATGTTGGAAAAACAGCATTGACATTTGACATAATAACATTAAGTGATATGGTCAAAGTTGCTTTTGTATTGCTGGATATTTGTAGCTGTTTATGACGTAGGGTAGGGTCAGCATTCAGAAACAGCGAGACACGAATCTACGAAACAATTTCTATAACCACATTTGTGGAGATAGGGTCAGCGGTTATAGGGTTAGGGTCAGCTGGCAAGGTAGCTCAAGGTCAGACCGTTAGGGTAAGGCAGGCCTCGAATTTAGCGGCGGCCATGGCGGCCACTGGCCGTCGATGACCTACTTGTTGGCCGCTATGCCCTCAAAATATACCGAAATCCACGGCCAGTAGTGGCCTGCCCTCAACCACAGAGTACAGTATACTGTACTTATGCTTTAGAATACCAAGTGTATGATTTGTAAAATTGGCAATAATCACTTATGTACTGTACAATCTTATTAGTTATAGTTTAATAGGTAGTTCAGATACATGTAAATACGATATGAATAGTTTCGTTTGGCATTTTTTTAATTGTTTATTTTTAATTATTAATCTGTCAATCTGTTAATCTTTTCCTGTCTCATGGAAACTCAGACGTTATTTGAAACTTCAAAATGGCAACTGAATAAAATTTTCAAACTGGCCTTGATAAACTTAGTAACATTTAAGGCCAAACTGGCCTTTCCTTTATTCTTCCCAAATTCGAGGCCTGGTAAGGATAGGGTTCAGCATTCATAAACAGCGAGACATGAATCTATTTAACCACAAATTTGTAGTGAACGATGCCGCTGGACACAGTGCTATGTCTGGATACCTCGGGCTCCATGGCCAACCGTGGTATCAGAGAATTGAAACGGGCAGCGACTGAATTTCTGAACGGCATCGAGGAAACAGCGAAACAATCTCAATTAAAGGTCTGTAAAGCCTGGTTTCCATATGGTCGTAACGGTCGCAAAGATTGGCTCACGATCTTTCTCATCAGCCGAACTACAACATTTCAGAACTGAAAATACGCGGAGTGATTATAACTATAGAGAATAGTTATGATTTACATGTGGTTTACAGGTATATATAAACTATTATAAACTGGCCGTTGAGAAAGATCGTGACTCAATTTTTACGGACCATATGGAAACCAGGAATTATATAACTGAATCCTTATATTATATATTATACTTCTCCTTATATTCTTCAACTAGTTACATCTCTACCAACAAAAAGCTTGTTAATATACAGCAGAAGCCCGTTTTTAATTACAGGGTTAATATATACACGTGTATCTTCCTTGGGTACTGAGAATTAGTCTATACCAAACATTTCATGAACATTCAAGGCGCGAGTTTTTCACTCCAATCGGAAATACCACACATGCAAATTGTGATGGTAAAAACAAAATGTCCAAACATGAAATTTTCGGTGTAGACTAATTTGAATATAAAGATTTCAATTGTGAGGTCAATTTTTGGCAACGACCTGCAGATAGTGAGATGAAAAAGTGATGACGTCAACTCGGATTGGAGAATTCAGAGAGTAGGCTTTCGTTCCAAAACCTTCTCAAACCTGCATACTTCTGGCACCCAGGGTATCATAAGTATTCATAATACGTATCAGTTTTCGTTTGGAAACGAAACTTTTTCTCTCTTTAAAAAACATGTAAAATACAAGTGATTTGCCAACACTCAGATAACAGGTTGCTTCGAAACGTAGCGGTCAAAGCAATACCTATAATCTATATGAACAAAACTTACCAAGTCTGACTCCACAAGAAGTGAAGAAGTTCCAACGAGGAGTTCCATTTTTGCAATAAAAACAAACCGCCGCAAAAAAACTATGAACGAATATAGAGGTATAAAAATGACAACACGGTAAATTTGTTTTGTAATTGTGCCAAAAACTTCGCGATTCAATTTATCGGTCTTGGAAGATTGAAAATGGGAACTGAGGTCGTTCACTTTCTGAGAGGTTCTGCGAATTTATAATGCAGCTGCAGAGTTATACAATTATATTTTTAGGAAAACGTTGCGATCGTGGAATTTGGAGCGAATACTCGGATTGTTAAGAACCTGTCCACAGACTACGCTGCACTGAAAAAATGTATCGGTAAATAAGCTTTCTTTTTATATTAGAGCCCAACTCAGGCCCCCTTTACACAAGCCCGGGTTGACTATCAACCCGGGTTGGCTTGCCAGCCCGGGTCAACCCGTCTACGAATAAATCTCTATTAGCGTTTACACGATAGCCGGGTCAACCGTTCACACCTCGCCAACCCGGGGCACCCTTCTCGAGACCCGGGTCGACCCGGGTTGGCGAGGTGTGAACGCGTGAAAAGTTTACTCATTTCTTCATGTAAAGCCGGGTTGGCTTGACCCGGGATCATGTAAAGTGCGGGAAATTCCTGATTGTGAACTTTGCACCTAGCGTCATATCGCATTTCAACATTTTGCGTGCGTATTTTCTCCGTCTCTGTTTGGTACAGACATATAAAATCATACAGTATGGCGAGTAAAAACTGTCCAAAACCAAAAGAAAAAATGCACAACCCGCGTTTCAGTGGTGGTCTGAAATTATTGATCACCTAATCCTTTCTCTGAAGGATTATAAGACGGAGATGAATTATAAAAATGTAGATTTCAACTCCGATGTTGTCGCAATGTATTCAAAGTTGCGCGAAGGTCTGGCGTTGGCGTTCGATGCCGAATATTTTTGCCCAGTAGATCTTCCAGTACAAAATAACGAGGGAAAAAAGGGAAGAAAACGTCTTTAAGGCAGAATTAAGTTGCTATACGGTTAAATCCTTGATAAAAAGGGATATAATTGTATACTGAAAGATATAAGCGCCAAAACTAAAAGGTATATAATCGTAATAATATCGTATGAGGTCTATAACGGATTTTAAGGGATATAAGCGCTAAAAATACACTCTGCTCCAGTCTGTTGCTCGGAATATTACTCGAGTCAGCCCGGGTTGAGAATTGCTGACCCGGGTTGGCAAAATTGTCGTCAACCCGGGTTCATGTAAACAGAATAAAAAAATAACCTCCTGTGGCGTGCTGACCCGGGTTGAAAATCAGCCCGGGTTCGTGTAAAGGGGGCCTCATTGTAAGGTTCCTAAACCCGTGATGCCGGGTTCAAATTCTCACGCACGTTTTCGTAGCTTTTTTAATACAGTATATGTAGCCGGTTACAGACGAGCAAGTTTTCTGACAAGTTTTTATGTGACAAGTTCTATTTGCTCGTCTGTACGCGCAACTTTGACAAGTTTTTCTATGACAAGTGCACTTGTTCAAAAGCTAAAAGTACAAATTTTGTTCGTCTGTATGGGTCAACAAATAAAACTTGTCTAAGTAATCTGAGCATTTGATGTGATTGGCCAGTGGACTATTATAATTTTTCTGTCATGGCGGCGATAAACACCTTTTTCTGACACGTTCACATGCACCAGTAAATAAAACTTGTCACATGAAAACATGTCATATAAAATTTGTTGCATATACTCACGTGCACTTGGCAAATAAAACTTGTCACATAAAAACTTGTCATAGAAAACTTGCTCGTCTGTAACCGGCTATTATGCGTCCCGCAAAACCTATCAGAGGGTCCGAATATGGTTACTCAGTGACTTTTGGCCGTATTTTGACTGACAATTAACACAACATCATGACTGATACAGTAGCTTCCACTGAGAAAATGAAACGGCAATTTGAAATCCTATAAAATATTTTACCGACAGCTGACGAATGGCAAAATTTAGGCTTCAAACTGACATCCTAATATCCCGGCATTACCATCCTCTTATTATCAACCGTTACGCATGTTAAATGATGTTATTAATCTCATATTAAATATTTTAACAGCTTCCGTTTATTTCAGGGAGTTTGTCAGCGAATGGTCAAACACCAATGAAAGAAGGTCTTACCCTTGCAATGAAAGAAATTCTTGAACATGGTACGTTTCAGATTCTTCTTGATTTGTGGAAGTAAATAAATAGATCCCGATTATCTCATTTTTATTCCACTGCACGAGTTGCATGCCTGCGTTCGCGCGAGATCGGACGAAGTCGGAACCGCATCCCAATTCACCCGGTTCACACAGGAATTTGTACGGTTAGTTGTATTCGAACTCGTCACGTTTCATGCCTCGCGTGTGGACGCGCAAAGCAAAATCATTGGAGTGCGAGAGTTGGTACGTAAAAAATGGGCAATTGTACTTGAAAATTATTAAAGGGAAGAGCGGTGCGCATTCATTGGTGGAAATAGGAAGAAAAATGCTACGACATGAATTTGGTAAATACACGGAAAGGGAAAAAAATTATATAGGGTCGGGCAATTTCACGAACGCCAGGCAAACTTTCCCGTGAAGTAAGAGTACAACGCTTTCAAATTCACCGGTAGGAATGATTCAGTTCTTCGTATTAGTCGATCCCTTCAATTTCTTGCATTCCTGTGACTCATTTCAAACGTGGGTTGGCACTAGATGACTTACTAAGTGAGGTTGGGATCTTGCGCGCCAATGCTGCGTATATACATAGGGATCTTCTTGAATGTCAAAAAGTTAATATCATTTGCGCGCGAAATCTGGAGAGTACTGTTTTAATTTGATCAGGCGGAGTGGTTAACGTGAATGGTCTAAAACTTTCTCCACGCATCGTGTTAATGACAGATGGCAAACCGACAGGCACAACCGAAGTTCAGGTATAGGTATTAATATATCTTAATATATCTAAACCATTTCGTCTGGTAGATAGATAAGTCTACTGCATAGCAGAATATGTTTAACCGTACGTAAGCAGGTAAACAGGACTGGCCTGTAAATAGCTTGGTAAATATAGGTAGGCAAATAGTAGAGGTAAGTATGTACGTAGTAGGTAGATAGATATACCAACGTCTGTATTCTAAAAGCTCACTCACACTCAAAGAGTGGAGGTTCAGTCTGCATGAGCTTCTCTTGAGTGCATGTCAATGCTGTTTTTGAATAGCTGAAGGGTTAGTGTCGTAACTTACTCTGTGACTACTCATTCTCCAGCTATTCAAAAACAGCATTGACACTCAAAAGAAGCTCAGATTGAACTCTCTTTGAGTGTGGATGAGCTTTCAGAATACAGGCGTCGGTAGGTATAGGTAGATATGCAGGCAGGTTTATAGGTTAGCACGTAGGTAGGTAGGCACGTATAGGTAGGTATAGGTGAATGGGTCAATGTAAGTAAGTAGGTTGATGGTAGATGGGTATATGTAGGAAGATATTATGGGTATATGTAGGAAGATATTAGAAGTGGGAACGTAGGCAGGCAGAGAGGAGGGTGGGTAGGTAGGCAGGCATGCAGGTGAGTGGGTAGGTAGGCAGGTAAGTAGGTAGGTGAGATTATCAACCTACTTATTACTTATCATGAACCCTGGTAGATGGGTATATATGTAGGAAGATATTGTGGGGTGGGTAGGAAGTAAGTGTTCGGAAATGAAATAATATATACTGGCATGTCTGGTAGACGTAGTAGATACATAGATATGTGAGCATGAACTACTTGGAAAAGCTTGCAAGTAAACGAATGAACGTAAGGATCGTAAATTATGTAAATGTCTCTCAGGCCATAACAGAGGTTCTCACAGTTGCTGCGTTGTTTGGACAACATTGGAAAGAAGTTGGTCTACCCCATCCAATTCCCATCGCTTGTGTTGGCTGTGGCGATGCTGATAGGGTAAGAGAAAGTTGATCACTTGTTGGATCTCACTATAAGCACCAAAAGATGGTCGTCAAATTTTCTCAATTCTTTCTGGTGTCGAACTTTTCATGTGGTGAAACTAATGTGAATGACTTGAACTCATTTTTTCGAGCTCACTCATTTTTTCGATGCTCAGATATTCACCAGAACCCTTGGAGGGCCCGATGCAATTGCCCCACTGCTGTTAAAGCCAAACCCTTCTCTGAAGATGCATCGGTTTATTCAAATCAATACTTATTCAGAAATTATAGCTGAAAACAAACTTAATACAATCCTTTTCGTCCCAATCCAAAACATCATTGGTGCACGTGAAAGCTATAACTTTCCATTTGGTACATAAAAAATGTGGCTTCCCAGGGGAATAGCCCCAGTGAGTTTACTCCGGTGTCCCTGTTAATGTTGAATGTGATCAGTCTGATTTATCAGTAAAATACCAAAAGAATAGCAACGGGCACTTCCCGAATTTGCCACTTGAGTGCACACAAAAACAATAACTTGAAATCGAGGCGGACATGATGTACTCCATTGTTGTATCTCATTGCAGAAACTTCTTGAAGGGATCGCCAAAATAACCAAAGGCATGTTCACTATGGTTGACAGCATGGAGGAATTGAGCACTTTCTTTCGTAGACAAGTCATTCTCTCAAGATTCGTCGCGCAATTTTCACATGGTTAGTTCGCATTACAATAAACGTCAAAAAGGTTAAAATATACAAAACTTTCGGTCGCTAACTGCGACCTTCCTCAGAGTTAAAAATTTACAAGTGACTAAAAACGGTCCTTAGGCTTAGGATAGCTACGCCAAAGACCGTTTCTAGTCACTTGTAAATTGTGTATATTTTAACCTTTTTAAATTAATGCAGTATATAATAGATCAGCTTCAACAAGAAACCAAATTAGTTCAGTATAGCCTATAGGTTCGCTTTTGAATGCATGTGCGTAGTATTTCATGTGTTGTTTTGTGATCCTTAAACTATATCATATATGACTAGAGTTAATTTCTCAACTACAGACATGTCTCAGTTACGGTCACTACTGGCTTTGCAGCAGTTCATGAGAGCATGTGGTGAAGCCGTGGAGGAGTCAGAAGCGGTGAGTTTATTCAACACTGTCCTCTCCGCTCCGTTTCTTTCAAAAGCTTTTGCGGAGGAGAGAGCAAGATTGCCATGTAGCAATCTGGTTCCCAGAGTATGCCTGTTCGCGGGTTGTCCATGTAGTCATCCAACCATAACCTGCAAAGCAGGTGTTTTATTTGAAACTCGCGGGGGCCTGAATTTGCCTACCGGGAGCGGGATGCAGTCTGCGAGCAGACTAGAATTTGCCGGGTGAGCTGGAGGATAATCGTGGATAGCATTCCGCCTTTCATTATTCCATCCAGCCTATGAATTGCTCTTAGGGATTAATTTTGAAACAAGCAAGATCAAACAAGCTAAACTGTCGTACTACTTTATTAGCGTTCACTTCGCGGTCTTCTTGGTGCCATGTTGATCGGGGCAGCTTTAGAAGATAGTGATGATGATGATGACGACGGAGATAGTAAGGTGAGTTATACCTATACCTGCCATACGAAATATTCTGCCGAAGGGGGGAGGGGAGGAGGCTGTGTTGCCACTCCCAGCCTCATAACTTCAAGGTTATTATAGTTCCAGAATAGTTAATTTCCAGTCCATATATTAGATTGGTCATGAACTTTTCTTACCCCACAGTCTTATCCTACGCCACCACCACTGGGAACTCGGATACGTCGAGGACCACAATGGAAGTGGGGGGATCAAGATGGGCGTGGAGTGGGCACCATCGTGAAACACTCTGATACAAAAGGCAAGTAAACTACTGATCTGTAATGTAAAGTGGATAGTGCAAGCCATTATTCAATGTTCACCGGTGCATTAGGTGTGCAATGATTGATTGGGGTAAATGTAGTATGGAAAATGGCTAGTCATTTCACTGTATTTTTCATCAACTTTATTAATGTATGTAGGTTGGGTCGACGTTCGTTGGGATAATGGCAGGAAGAATTCGTATCGTTTTGGTAAAGATAATGCGATGGACGTTAAGGTAAATCAAACTTAAACCATCTCCATCATCGGGAGTTTCACACCCTCGAAAAGAAGTCCAAAAGTGGAATTCCATCCCCGGTATAGTTAAAGGTATCCGAAGATGGAGGGCCAGAGAGGGGAGTTTTTTGAAAGGGAGGTTCTGAAAGGGAGGTTTTGTAAGGTAAATTGTTAATGTTTCTTCATGAATGACTCCTTGAAAATCTCTGTCGTAATATATAGATTGTGAACGAGCCACGTAAAGTCACTTTTCACGAAGGCGTCCAGGTTGGGGTGCGTGTTGTACGAGGTGAGGGTTAAAAAATTGAAAAATATTATCGAGCACAAGGCAACGATTGCTGCAACTTGCAACTCAATTTCGGACACCGAGACATGTTATGCAAAGAATCGCATAAAAATTCCTAAGCATGGCTCCAAATTTACTCTGATAACGTTTTTGTTACTAGAATAGGGAGTTTAAGCAAGCGACGGTTTTCTCAACACGGACGTCAGATTGCCAATGGGGCAGTGGATTAAAAATTGTGTTTGTATCAGTTTGTGGTAATATTCAACACATATGACAAACAAAAGATTTTTAAAACTTTTTGCTTCCTTACACAAGCGCTTAATCTCCCTAGTCATATTCTATGTGAAGAGGCATGAGAGAAATGAACGAGAATAAAGAATATTGGCGGAGTGAAACCATGGCTAGTGCTACAAGCTAAATAAAGAGAGCAGTGGCAGTTTCAAAACAATGTAAAGACAATGGAACATTCGGGCCAAAAACTGTCATATCCAATTTCGATATCCCAGGCAGAGGGAAGCTTGTGCATAACAAAATTTGAAATCCCAGACAAAGAGGAAGCTTTCGTGCATAACATAACTTTAATTTTTCAGGCAAAGATTGGAAGTGGGGGGATCAAGATGGCGGAAGTGGTTCAAAGGGCTACGTCTATGACGTCAGTGAACTAACTGGAGTTTGCAAGGTATGATCAAAATGATGGCGTCACAGAATTTCTCAAGCATTTCGTCCACAATGTCTCGAACTTTTTCATCAGTAAAACACAAGGGAAATCACTACTGTACAGTTGTCTTGAAACCATGATAATAATACTGCATAACTTGACTTTCGCGTTGAATTTCTCTTTAAACACTTGTTCGTGTGAGGACTTAATAATTAGTTTACGAGTGTATATAATTTCTCAAACGAAACTGTGTTTAATTAAAGAAAATTTCAACGTGAGAGTTGGCTAAATATATTGAAGTGAAGGATACGGTGTTCACTGTCTTTGTGTTGTACTCATGATTTATTGACGAGTGTTTATAAAACTTTAGGTACGTTGGGACGATGGCAGAACAAACACGTATCGGAATGGAGCTGAAGGAGCCTTTGACTTGCGTGTTTTACCAGAGGTAAATCCTGGGGAAGCAAAAAAGGGGGGGAGGGGCGAAGGGGAGCGGGGAGACAAAGAAGGAGAGAAGAGTCTAGAAGATATGTAAGCAAGGGGGAGAAGATGGGGAAGGTCGAAGGGAAGGAAAAAGACAAGGAAGGAGGAGAGAGTCTGCAAAGAGATATGAACAAGGGGGAGAAGGTGGGGAGAGTCGATAGGGAGGAGAAGAGGAAGACAAGGAAGAGGGAATCTGTAAAGAGATATGAACAAGGGGGAGAAGGTGGGGAGAGTCGACAGGGAGGAGGAGAGGAAGACAAGGAAAAGGGAATCTGTAAAGAGATATGAACAAGGGGGAGAAGGTGGGGAGGGTCGAAGGGTAGGGGGAAACAAAGGAGGAGAAGAAAGTCTAGAAAGAGATGTAAGTGTTTGAACGTTAGAAAGTAAAAGAAAGGGAGAGGGGCGGAGAGAAGTAAAGTCAATCCTGTGGAGGATGGGGGGATGCCCATCGTACATACGTTTTGAACAAGGGGATAAATTGATAAAAAATAATTGCGTCTATTGGCTGGCTCCATTTCGTCGATCTTGGAGAAAGGGGTGTGGGAATATGCACTCCCCCTCCCCGGCTCTTTAACCGTGTTTCGGTATGCTTGACCAGTGCAGTGCACTAAGAGAACAGGAACAATAAGAGAAAGGAAATGAAAGGATAGAAAAAGTAGATTTGGAGAAAGAAAGTAAGAAAGAAAAAGTAACGGAGGTATACAGTTTGTAATAAGTCCGTACAATATCTCATGTGTTATAGGATGTGAGTGGTCTAGGAACTCCATCATCAAGCACCCGTGGTAAAGACCCAGAGGAATGCTCTGTCATGTGAATATGATCTTCATAAAATGTTTCACTGGCAGGCAAGGTGGCCGCGAGATTCTGAAATAAAACTGTTATCCAGTATGCACTGATCTTAATGTTTAACAAGAAAATATAGAAGTCTCCTCTCACGAGACATGAAGTGTAAATTAAAACATAGCTATTACATAACTATGATAAAAATAAGTATTCCGGTAACTTCACGGATTAAGTTCAAACGAAATAGAAGTAGGGGCACATACTCACTTGGCTAAATAGCTAGAACAATGAGTTTGGTGAAAAAGGATTGCAAGTAACATTTTGTAAAATATAGTAACATACCAGTAAATGTTTTGTTTTGTTGATGACTCAAGAGTTTATATGTAGCTTAAAAATCTGCGCGTTTGTGCATCAAAACCACTTATCTGCGATTGAAACACACTCTCCGTTGCATTTAATCAATGGGTGATTGCAGCTATAGACTAAATTTTGATCAAGGCAAGAAGAACGAAATCCAACACCACAGCTAGAAAGAGCGTCTTAGAATGAGTAAAACTGCAAAGATTGGTTGCGAAATGTTGTAAAATGAAGAAAATATAGCCCTGTGAGGTTCGCAAATTTTGCATACATTTGTATCACGCGCGGTGAAAATAACCACTTTCGGCTCAAGAGGTTCGCAAATTTTGCATACATTTGTATCACGCGCGGTGAAAATAACCACTTTCGGCTCAAGAATGGTTATTTTTCCCGCACGTAATGCAAATATATACAAAATTTGCGAACTTCACAGGGCTATATATTCCTCATTTTACAACAATTCGCAACCAAACTTTGCAATTTTACTAATTTTAAGATGCTCTTTCCAGCTACGGTAATGGTTTCGTTCTTCTTCCGACTTCTTGTCTAGATCAAAATTTAGTCTATAGCTG